TTTTTTATAGTAACTATATTTTATAAGCCCGCCAAAACCTCCAGAAAACGCAATGGGGAGATAAATAAAAAATCTTTAGTATTAAAAACTTGTTAAAGAAACAATTGGGTATTGTTATTAGAAGTCTCCTAAAAAGAATCAGAGTTTTCCGATCGAAGAATATTGATTTTCCAGAATTAGATATTAGGAATGGGCACGGGACTAAATATTCAATCCCAATCCCGCCCATCCCGAAAGTAAAATTTTTACAGACCTTCCCGATACCGACCATACTGGCCATTTTTAAATAAGTACCGTGGTTCCTGCGGGTCCCGATATCTCGCGCCCATCTATATTCTATGGCTGCGTTTCTTTATACATTCCGGATAATCCCATTTCACAGCCGGAATAAACAGAATGCTTTTGAAATATGCGTTAACATACCATCAGGAACGTTCTAAAGAATAAGTAAACAAAAAAGTTTATTCCAAACGTTCAGAATGAATAAAGAAATTCAGCCTATACCATTTCTACTTCTAAACACTTTTTGATAAAAAATAAAAATAAAATAAAATAGGGATATATTTTTTCGAAACATGTAGAAATATCCTAGGGGGTGAGAGCATTAATATTCCGACTTTAGTTTTTTTTGGACCACCCTAATGATCATAGATACAAACATACATCATATGTGATTATATACTCACATGCACAACAGTGTTTATCGATATAGTTTCAAACGTAAGTTAATTAATTTTAAAACTAAGTACTTTTTATTCCGATAATTTCTAAGTAAATTTTTAAATCTATTACTATTGCGACAGCTTTCAAAATGCAACAACAGTGGATGACAAACTGTGCAAAAAGGAGCATGTCTCCGCTAAACAGTTGCTCTCAAACTACTATGCGTAACACAAGGAACCTAATATGCAAGTTTTCTATTTTCGTTGGCACTGCTGCAGGGCGCCCACGATGATTAATATTTGCTTCCATTCGTTATTTAATTTTTTTTTTGATGATGCATTTCCGAACGTTTGTTTGCAATTTGCGCAAAGCTTAGGGATTTTTTTCCTTTGGTACTACATAAACACAGATATGGGTGTTTCCATCGGAAAGTCTACCGACAAAATATTTAAAGTCATATATCTGACATAGTTATGGTCTGTTTTTTTTATACCCGAGCGCACTTGTGCAAAAGGGAATTATAACTTAATTATGATTAGAATTAAAAGAGAAGTCGATTAAGCCAAGTCTGTCTGTCCGTCAGTCTGTGCACACGATAACTGGAGCAAAAATTGAGATATCGTAACGAAACTGGGTATGTGTAATGTGTAAAATGGTCAAAATCGGACAATAACCACGCCTACCTCCCATATTACGGTAGTTTTCAGAAATACGAAAACTGCGATATTTTATTAACTGCTGAAGATTACTCACTCAAAATTGATATTTACAATCATTTTCAGGTAACATTATAAATTTTTGGAAAATGGGCGTGGCACCGCCCACTTATAATCACATATATGTATCTTGGTAACCGTTCGACCAATATGTACCAAACTCACAAAACGCTGAAAAGTTTGAAATCGGAACAAAACTACGCCCACTTATATAACGGTAAATTTCAGAAATAAATGCTTGAAATAGGGATGCAATCCTGCTTACCATGTAGCGGTAGTTTTCTGAAAAGTGTAAAAACTATATTTATTAATTGCGCTGGGTATCTTATGTTCGGTTCCGCCCGAACTTAGAATTTTTTACTTGTTTACATATAAAAAAACTTGTCGAACATTCTTTGTATGGCAAAAAATTATATCACCGTTATTAAAAAAATGCCAAAAAATCAGCGGTAAGACCCCGCTGGTTTAGATTTGGACCTCATTAAACTAGAATTTAATAGACTTTAAAACTGCATACCATAATTTTTTCTAAAGCTGCTGACTAAAAAGTTAAAAATTTAGGTGGAATTGTGCAGAAATTTCATCATTGGTTTGTTAAAAAATAAACTATATTTTCATAAAAAAATAATAAACATTCAATAAACGAAGAAAAATTGCCAAAACTTGCTAAAATGTCGCGTACCAGTTTAAATTTGGATCACTGTATTTTTTTTTTTTTTAAAGAAACTAAGAGCACGAATTTCATTGTAAAACAAAACCCTCTGGGAAGACAATGTCTATCAAATAATTGAATAATGGTGCTAATATCCTTTAGTGTTGCTTATTCTTTCTCTCTGCCAAGCATGTGTAGAGAGTGAGCAGGTCTTAAAAAAACGCAAACGTTTCGAATATATGGACATCAAAATAAAATTACATAGTTAAATTGTTAAAAACTTAAAAAGTGACCGGCTTGTTCAATATAAATTACTGCTTTTTTCCCCAAAAATAATTTAATCAATTTATAATAAAAATAAAACAAGTTACTTTTAGCTGAAAAATGTTAACCGTTTTTTGGCCAATTGAGCCAGTCGGCCCAAAAAGTTCTGGCAATACTCTTCCGCA